AGTCTCTTCTAGCTTGATACATTAATCAGATAGAAAATCACTACAGTTCACATTACTTGGAGTAACATTTCTTAGGCTGGGTCTGAAGACCTTTAGATTTTGGTGCTTATTCTCTAGAGAAAATTTAAAAACATTTATTTTTGCAAAGATAATACATGTATTCTCAATCCCCTGATTAAATACAATTTATGATCATGTTGGTTCCACCTGAGAACCTAAAGCTGGGGTCCCCAAGATGTGGTCCCGTGACCAGCAGCATCAGCAACACCTGGGAACTTGGGAGAATGCAGACCGTTAGTCCGTACCTCAGACCTACTGAATCCTAAACTGTGGGGCTGGGATACAGCAGTTCATGTACTAACAAGCCCTCTGGATGATTCTGATACACAGTCCAGTTTGAGAACTGCTGACCAGAAGGAATAGCTGTTTGGCCTTTAATTCCAAATTAGACAGGTTCTTGCAGGCCTTGACTGCTGAGATTTGATGAATATTCATTCTCTCCCATTCTTTCATTTATTCATCAACGATTTCTTGATTCTCTATTATATGCCAACCACAGTGCTTGGCCCCAGGAGATGCAGACAGACTTTCCCCTGGCATCACAGGGTTTACAATAGCGGCACAAAAACTCTGTAGTTCCAAATGTGAACACTGCTGAGATGGTTCATTGTAAAGGACCAGAGTGCAGATAAGGAGAGACCCAACCTGCTTTTGGAAATTGGGGAAAGCTTCTCTGAGGTAGTGATGTTGAAATTGACACCTGAAGAATGAATGGGTTCAGGCCCCAGCACCCTTATTTGCCTAAATTAGCCACGTTTATCTCTAGTTCTCACTTTATGCAGTGACTCAACCACATAACTTAGCACATCTTCTGGGCATGGGAAGTCATGGTGAGGTGAGCACTCTCCATGCCCCAACTCTGCACTCCCCCTGGGGGCTCCGCTTAGGACAGACCGCCTCATAGTTCTAGTCTATCTCACACCCCATCCAGATGGTTTAGTTACTGGCACCAAAAGGCCTCCCTCTGAGGCCACTCTGTCTAGTCCACAGTCCAAGCACAGATCCTGGAGACGGTGCGGGATGCTGGAGGGAACACTAGACTTCCTTCCAGTCGTAGTGGCAGAGGGAGGTGGCCCTTCAGGGGGAGGTGGCCCTTGAACTGTCTTAAAGGACAAGGAGTTGTGAACTGGGCAGAGAGGTGGAGGTCAAGGGTATTACAGGCTGAGGGGACATCATGTTCTGCTTTGAGAAGACTTTTGTTTTGTAATTGGTGTCGGTATTGGTTTTCCAGCAGCCTTTCTTTTTTTCCCTTCCAAAGACTGGTGTGTGTGTGTGTGTGTGTGTGTGTGCGCGCGCGCGCGCGCGCGTGCAGGGTCGGGGAACGGGGTGGGGGGCAAAATCCAAAGCTGATTTAAAACCCAAGGTTCCCGGTCATGGGAGGTGGTAACTGATATTGGCCCCTAGCAGACGTGCTGCTGGGGGGAGCTGAGCTCCTCCAACTCTAGGACTTTTCCCTATTTGACTTTGCATCTAAGATCCTCTAATGCAGTGGTCTTGAACCATTCTTTTTAGCCACAGAATCCTTTGTTCAGATCAAAACTTCTGAGACCCCGATAGTTAAACATAGAAACAGAGCTGCTCTAATGTAAAGGTGGGGCGACCCTTGCCTTCAGCCCAGCACTCTCTCCAGTGGAATCTTGGTGCAGGGTTTTAAAACTCACTGAGAACGGGGTAGGGGTTGGGCATCTCCAGTCTTCTAACCTCCAGGGTCACAGCAAACCCTCACAAGGAAAACTGCCCAAGGTACCCCCAGGACTGTGGTGTTGCCTAGAGCCATCTTCCTGTTTCAGAGGAGAGCCCTTTAGCAGCAGACATTTCCCACAGGCAGGATTCATGCTGCAGCTGCATGGCGGATGGGAATATGCTCATTTCTCAGGGCCTGGGCTTCGAATGAGTCAGGGGAGGGGTGGGGTGGGGGATATAATAGGCCAGACTGGTTCACAGGCTCACAAATCCAGCCCAGTCACTACCTCTCCCCCATTCCTTCTTCAAGGGGCCTCTCATCCTCTGCAGGCAGAAATGTATTCCTGACAATCTGAGAGGATGGGAAGACAGGCGGGGGAGGGCTGCCTTATCTGTGATTCACAACCTGGTGCTGAGAAGGGCCAGGCTCCTCCTTGGTCTCTGAGCAGGAAGAATAGACATGGATAGCATTGCTGGCTGGAGAGAGGGCTGGAGAGAGGGCGTTGTCAGCAATAAAAAGGTCAAAGCAGCTTCTCACTCCCTGGGCCTCAGTGGGAGTGCCTGGTTGGGTTTCAAATTATTTCCTCTGGTGAAACAGGAAATCCAGGAGAGAGAGGAGCAAGATGGGATGCTGGAGGATGGGACAGGACAGATGTAAAAACATGAATGCAAAGAACTTTCATGATACAAACCAAATGTGAGGTAGCTGGGAAAAGGCCAGGTGATATACCAGGTTTTACTTTCTGTGTCATTCTAGAAAGTATGAGGTTGAGATAGCCCTTTCTTTCGATGAGGGGCCTGCAAGCTATAGCCCATGGAAAAATCTAGCCTACCCCATGATTTTTTAAGCTTTACTGGAACACATGCGTGCCTATTGCTATGTGTATTTGCAGACAAAGCCAAGGTCTTGTGGTTCTTGTTGTCAGCACCCATTTTGTACCATTCACGTAGCCTCTCATTGCAGTTATTTCTCCATGTCTCTCAGCCCATTTCAACTGTATATTCCTTAAATACAGAGTCTTCCACTGTTGTCATTTCTGTTTTAATTGAAGCTCACTAGTATACCAGGATCTCACACTTGGTGTCCTACCTAGTGCCAAGCACAATGTCTTGCACGTAGCAGATATTCACACCAATTTGACTAGTGTTGACTGATCACATGTGGGGAGGCCTCTTGAACTCCCTGCAATAGTGGCTTCATGTTGGGATGATGGCCGAGGCAAGGATCAGATCGGTCCCTCTTCTAAGCCCCAAGGAGAGTTTGCGAGAGACCTTGTAATGTGGAGTACAGGAGAACAAGGTTGAATTCAGGGGCTGGAGGAAGAGAATTCAATTCAGTACACAACTATTGCATGCCTACTCTGTGCCCAGCACTAGTAGTAGCTGGAGATACCAAGATGGATGTGCCCTCCACAAGCTGACACTGTGTGTGTTGGCGATGGGGAGGGGCAGCTCACAGAAGGGGAAAGAAAATAAAGCTAATTCAAGGACAATTAATGGGACACAGGAGGGGTCCTGGGTCTCATTTAGTTCTGCTTTTCCATTTAGTTTCAGAAGAATCGACGAGACCAGGATGCCACCAAATACAAGCTCATGGAGATCGCCAATTACGCTGATAAGGTGAGACCAGGTGTGTACTTTGTGGGACAGATGCCAGCACCTCAGAGGAGCCGCAGGAAAGGAGATCATGTGGCATCTGAGCTGCCTTTTGGATTGGCTGCTCCAGCCAGTTTCAGAGAGGGAATAGCAATGCCACAGAGGCTCAGGGTGGTCATGACCAAGCTCAACTATGTGACCTTAGCCAAGTAACTCATCTTCTTTGAGTTGCAGTTTTGTTTTTAATTTGCAAAATGGAGGGGTTGGCCTAATCAGTGGCTTTCAATTTATTTTGTTTTTCTGGTGAAATCCTTTTTTTTAAGAATGAAATCTTATGTCAATATCTGTGTAGTTTAAACCCTGACATTTGTCTCTATTTCTTTTTGTAATGTAAGTGTCTGACTTAAGTTTCGATTGCCCAAACCTCCATTTCAAAGGGGCGTCTACTTCAAAGCAGATATCTCAATAAACACTTGGCCACCAGTAAGACTTGATAAAGAGCCTGGTCATCTTCTCCCACTGAGGCGTCTTTGTTGTAGAGATCCTGGTTGATAACAATATCTGACCATTTGGGCTACCTGATATTTTTCTCTTCCCCAGCTTTTAATTCCATCTCTGTGTTTTAAATTTGCCAATAAAGAGTGAGCCCTCAAAACTCTAAGCCCTCACCCTTGACCCCAGTAAAAGCAGAACCCCAGGCCGTGTATTCTTCTCTTTCCCCTGGCTCTCTCCCTGCAGCCTCGCTGTGTGGCCCCAGGTATCCTTTATAATTTACAGGTCTTGTAAG